TAACCCACACACCTATGAACACTTGATTTTTGACAAAGAAGCTAAAATTGTACGGAAAAAAGAAAGCATCTTCAACAAATGGTGCTGGCATAACTGGGTACTGGTATGCAGAAGACTGCAGATAGATCCATGTGTTTCGCCTTGTACAAAACTTAAGTCCAAATGGATCAAAGACCTCAACATAAATCCAGCCACACTGAAACTTTTAGAAGAGAAATTGGGAGATACTCTTCAACGAGTTGGTACAGGAGACCACTTCCTAAACATAACACCAGTGGCACAGGCACTGAGATTGACAATGAACAAATGGGACCTTCTGAAACTAAAAAGCTTCTGTAAGGCAAAGGACACAGTCAAAAAGACAAAAAGGCAGGCCACAGAATGGGAAAAGATATTCACTAACCCTACATCTGACAGAGGGCTAATCTCCAAAATTTACAAAGAACTCAAGAAACAAGTCTCCAAAACACCAAAGGATCCAATTAAAAGGTGGGGTACAGAGCTAAATAGAGAATTCTCAGTAGAGGAGGCTAAAATGGCCAAGAGACACTTAAGAAAGTGCTCAACATCCTTAGCCATCAGGGAAATGCAAATCAAAACAACTCTGAGATACCACCTTACTCCTGTCAGAATGGCTAAAATAAAAAACACCGAAGACAATTCATGCTGGAGAGGATGTGGAGAGAGAGGGAAAATAAATAACTGATACACCCGGAGTTCAATTATGTGAACCATGAGTTTTATTAGGATTCCTTCCAGGTTTATTTTTACCTGTTTTTAAAAGATTTATTCTTATGTGCATTGGTGTTCTGCCTGTGTGTATGTCTGGGTGATGGTGTCCGACCAGAGGAACTACAGTTATTAACAGTTGTGGGATTTTGGGTGCTGGGATTGAACTCAGGTCCTCTGCAAGAGCAGTTGGTGCTCTTCACAACCCAAATATTGTTTCCCCTCCCCAGAGACAGAGTTTCTCTGTGTATCCCTGAATATCCTGGAACTCACTCTCATACAAGACTGGCGTAAAACTCAGAAATCAGCCTACCTCTGCCTCCAGAGTGTTGATTAGAGGCATGGATCACTATCACCTGGCCCTTACAGCTTGATAAAACTGGAAAAATTTACCACAGTATAGGTTGATAAAACTGGAAAAAATTACCACAGTATAGTGTAGTCAATAGTTTACTTAAATACATTCCATATTATTTCATGTCTGTATATATGTTGCATTAATTCATACTTATCTATTTATCTATTTTTATGAAAGAGAAAACCTTGAGGATGCATAGCCACAACTTGGGAAGAGGTGGGGAGTGGAAAGAATATGAAATTATATATGTGTGTGTGTGTGTGTATTCATAAATGCACACTTAAGTATTTAGGGACATTTTTTTCTGTGTAGTTCCAGCTGTCCTAGAAAATGTTGTGTATATATGTGTAACTAGAAAGTCAAACAGATCCCACTGCCCCTGCCTTTTGTGGTTTAGGATGAAAATTAGACCCTATGCCAAGGTGATTAAAATATATTATATACAATATTTTTCTCAAAAGCCAGTAATAACTCTCCTGTGTATCACAAAAATTGGCTGAACAGGTAAAGGCAAAAAAATTGTAACTTGTTCACTTTCATTCATTTGTGACTCTGTGACTCTCACATGAGCTAACACATAATTGAAAATGGCTAGAGTAACCTTCAGCTACTCGGTGTTTCTCTGGATCTATGTCCATTCATGAGCGCAATGCTGAGGCCCAAAGCTCCGTCTCCACACAGACTCGATATTTGCGCTTGTTTTTCTACAGATGTGAGGTGCTCACATAATTTAATCCTTTGCTATTTTCTTTCCTATTTTTGACTCCTCGAAACTGCAGATTGAATCAAAGACTGGTTCACAGTAAAAATAGAAAGTGTTGCCCTATTCCTATAAATTTCTTATGAAAAGTTTGGGTCACATATACATGGTTGACCTCAAAAATCACACTATAGCCCAGGCTGTCTTTGAACTTACAGTTCTCCTGGTGAAGCTTCCCAGGCACCTGGGATTACAGATCTGTGCTCCCAGGCCTGGCTCTTAAGTAGCTTTTGATAAAGTTAATAGTTTATGATTAGTCTTCTCATTTGACCATCTAGATAATCATGCACAGGTTTTGTCTGTAGTTTCTTGATTATTTTTCCATTTCAGGCAGGGTCTCCTGTAACCCAGGCTGTCTTTGAAGCTGCCATGTAGTCAGCGCTGGCCTTCAATTCCTCATCCTCCTTTCTCCACTTTGGGCAATACAAGCATATTGTACCAACCTGGTGTGTGTAAGCATTATTATGGGCCTTAACTACTGAATACAGGATCTGGCTATTAATTGTAAAGAACAGGCCATGTGACTTTTAAGTCTGTAGTTCAAATAAGAAGACCAGTGTCAGCCTCCTCAATTTCTGGAGATGACACCCTTCAAGGGCTCTGAAGTTTGGGAGATGGCACATACAAAGCCCTTGGTACCAATCTTGAGTACCTGAGTTTTATTTCTAGGCTTCACATGGTAGAATGACAAATTCATTTCCCACATGTTTTCTGTTTATCTCCACATGTGGGCCCTGATAAGCTTGTGACCAAATATATATACAAAACAAAAGACATGTAATAACGTTTTTCAATCTGTTTCCTGTTATTTCTTTTTCTATCACCCAGTGTTGGGTGTTGAAACCTGTATCTTTCAAAACCCTCTGTCAGTGGGCTTCACCTGAGCCTGCTTGGTTAAAATTGCATTCAATTTAGAATGTAAATTAAATCACTGGTAGCTATCCAGAAAGCTTCCTGGAACTTGGCCCACTATATAGAGGCCGTCCCTGAGACAGACTTCCTGAACAAGCAAAGGGTCAGATGGATGTTATCTATTTATACAGGTCTGGGTGGCAGGACATTGGGAAGCAAACTGAGGTTTCTTTGGTACTGATTAAATTCCATTTAGTTCCTGACACAAAGAGAACAACCCTGTCTACTGAAAACCCATTTAGCCTAGGACTAATCTGTGAACATGTACTAAGCCACCATCAGGCTTATGCCTTTAACACTTGGCAGGAGATTGGGGGCAACTCTGTGTACTTGGTAAATCATATAATTGTGGGACCAGAGTGAGGCTCTGGATGACTCCGGTAAAATGACTGGGTGTTGTCTCCATTGCTGAACGTGTGACAAACAAGAAGGGAAGATGTAAGGCTGATCACTCTCTCCACTATCAATATGGGGTTTCCAATATCATCACAAAGTTAGAGAGAATGTGGAATCTCTGAGTTTGAATTCAGCCTAATCTTTAGAGAGAGAAATGAGCCAACAGGTGCTATATAGAGAGCACATGTGTCGGTTAAACAAATAAAAATAAAGGAAGGAAGAAAGTAGGAAAGCAATAAGCTAGCCAGCAAGCAAGGAAAAATAAGAGACCTAACAAGAGAAAGTAGGAAAGCAAGGTAGGGAGAAAGAAAAAAGGAATGACAGCAATAGGGAGGAAAGCAGAAGAACCCTGGGAAGCAAGCTAAGAAGAGTCAAACCTCCTGATCAGGACAGCAGCAAGGGGAGGCCAGTTTACTCCTGGACGGCAGTCCAAAGAGGGCACCAGTCCCTTGTTGTGGCCAAGGTCCTGTTAGTTTTTAAGTTCCTTAGGAGTCTGGCATTTAGTTTTCTGCCCAATATAAAAAGAAGTCCTCAAGTGGATCCTCAGGGCTGGGGCCACAATGTGGGAGGGTCTGCTGGATATGAGAGGATAATGGGTGAAGAGACTGGTAGGGATGGATAGAGAAGACATTTTAAGGTCAAGTTTTTGAAGTAGAGCTTCCCTCACTTGGGAGAAACTAGTCATTATGGGAGAGACTGCTGACATCCAGAGTGAACTGGCCAAAAGGCTTCTGTGTTAACGATGAACTTTAGGTAGATACACCTGTGATTTTGTGCCCCATGGTCCCTTTCTCCTTGGTTAAAGACAGAGTGTACCAAGAAAAGAACAGAAGGCCTGGGATGTCTATAATCTGGGTGAGTTTCCTCTTCATTACCAGCCTTCCTGGGCTGACAGTCTTATTAACACAAGAGCTGTTTGTATGTTTATTCCACTGTTTATAAAACTTAGAGCCTGAGGAAACAGTATGACAGGCAGAGAGAAAGTGTTAGGTATTATCCCTGGTGCACAGGAAGTTTGGAACAAATTTGCAAATGCTGGGAAGACTTGAGTGAAACCTGAGGATTATGGAACTCTTCTATTTTCTTCCTCCTAGGTTGCCCAGTAGAGTACAGCACTTCAGTAGGATCACACCCAAGTATGCTTCTGCATCCACCAGTTCTCCAGAAAGATCCAGTCAATTCAAGAAACTTAAGGCCCCAGTTGCATCCAGATTTACAAGTGTCTTCAAATGCACACTTGGAAACAGGTTTCCAGATGCCTGATGATCCTGCAAGGAAATCAAGTCTGCATATGTCTCAAAGTCCCCTAATGCACTCAGGAGTTCCAATGCAACCAAGCCCCCCAAATCATCCATCCCATATAAGCAAACAGAGTCTTCAAAAATCACAAAGCCCTGTATTTCTTCAAGAAGAGCTACTACAAACAGCTTTCAAATGGCTCTTAGATCTAGAAAGCAGCCTATGTCCACAATTGGCCTCAGTACTATCACCAGAACCAAGACTCCCAGTACATCAAGGTAGCCCAACATTGGGAACCAGGTCAACACACCCTAATCACCAGATGCTCTCAAGCTCCTCAGTGAATTCTGCTTGCACGGGTTCCTTAGGCTCTATGTTTCCTTCCTATCAATATGGTGAAAAGAAAGTTTGCAATGCAGTTCCAAAGAAGCAATGGAAGGAATGCACTGTGTACACCAAGGAGCAAAAGCTACTCCTCCAAGAACATTTTGATCAATGCATGAACCCAAGCTTTGATCAATGCAAAGGACTGGCACTAATGGAGCAAGAGATCAAGGTCTGTATTGCTCTTGTCCCTTTCTCACTAAGCAAAACTAGCTGTGGTACCTGTACAATTATCAGAGTCCCATACCCTTAGTGATTCCTCAGTGCTTGGAGCAGCATGGGACAATTGTGGATAGTGGACCTATGTGTATCCATGGATGGGCCTGGTTATTCTTTTTCAATCTGGGTACCATTATGGAGCTACATTATCTTCTTGGCAGGGTCTCAGGGACCCAGACATAAGGGACCCTTGTAAAACCCCAGACACCCTAGCTAAGGATTCCCTAGTACTTTTGTGTCAGATCATAAAGCATTCTACCTTCCTGCCTTTTGTAGCCTCAGACATCTGTGTTTATATGGGTAGTTGCTAGAGACGTTTTCCATACAGCATGTTCAACTAGGCATACCAGTCTTCTTCTGACATCTTCTTTGTCTTTCCAGAACTGGTTTAAGAACCATTGTGCAAGGTACAAACTGAAGAAATCACAGATTATTCAAGAAGGGCAGCCAGAGAAACTCTAAAGCTGCTTCTCGGTCAAACAATCGCCATGGTAACATATCTGTCCTTGTCTCTGCCAATGTAGAGTCCAAGTCTCCAGGCAAATCCATTTGGGCTCCATTCCCCAACTCAACCACAGCCTGGAAGCATCACATCTGGGCACAGAGCAGTGTGCGATGCCGCTTTCCCTATTTTCTACCAGGTGTGATTTAGGAACATCCACAAGAACATCTCAAATTGCCATGGAATCAAGGAGGAGAAGTCAGCTGTCAGTGCATGAGAACAAGTGTTCATGTCTCCATCAATGTCCCTGTCACTGATAGTCCTGAGTGATCAGGCCTATCAGTAGTTAGCTATCTTCCTGAAACCAGCACCTCTAATAATTGCCTCAGCGATTCCCTCATCTTGATCAGGCTCTGGGGGAAATTCAGCATATGGGACTAGTTGGCCAAGAACCTACTACAGGAACCACTGGTCCATTTCTATCAAGAAAAGCTACAGAACCAGTTCAGTCAGTAACATTTCAAGACACAGCAGAGTCTGCTCTAGTGATAAAATCCAGTATGAGCCAAAGCTCTTGTACCTCTATTGCTAGCAGATTCAGCTGCAGCTTCAAGCTACCACCAAAGGTGAAGGCTGCAGCCACAGGCAACGCCCTACATGGAGATGATGCTCACAGCAACCTGCATTTCCTGACCACTTCTTGGTTTATGGCCTCTAGAAAATCAACATCTCCCTAGATAACGTATTATTTCCCAAGTGTGCTTTATCGAGGCCCACTCACCCAGAGACTATTTCTAAGAACTGTTTGGTTCTTGAGAAGACATTGCTATAAAAATTAGAGGTGGCATAGTAAAAAGGTATCTTTATACGAGTGGTTGTGGGTTGTTACCTTTTTAGTACTGAGGATTCACGGTGAAGTCCTGGCTTTTGTTAATACTCTTAACCTCCTTCATGTGGTTATTGGCTGCTTTTATAGCTCTGCTCCATTCATTGTTAACCTTTGGACATTAATGTTCCACTTTTATTTGGAAACCATGTAAATAAGGTCTTGGATCACTAGGACCAGCAGTTAAGTGACTAGAACTAGGTGATTTTCTTGCTGATCATATTGGACAGATCACATTTGTAGTAATTCTCCACAGAAACAAGGTTATTGTAATTCTCCAACAGCACATGGATATACAAAGTCCTCTGAGCAGAGTCCAGGCATTGCCACTCCTCCTGGGAGATGTTCACAGTCACATCCCTTAATGTCAGTAGACCCTGGGAGACATGTCCTGGAGAATCAGCCATTTCTTGTTTCTCTTCTTTGAGTTTCTCTTTCTGGAACAATACATGCCTTGCTGAATAGACAGCATCCTTAGCTTCTGTCTCCTCCCTCTTCATCTTCCAGGTCTCTTTGTTCTGCTGCACAGGTGAGCAGGTCTGGGTGATCAGTGAGCCCTCAAATTTGTAAGGCTTCTCTCCAGTGTGAATTCTGTGATGTACTTTAAGATTTGAGCACTGGATAAAGGATTTGTCTAAATGTTGCACTTGTAGGGTTTCTTGCCAGTATGTATTCTGCTTGAGGCACTATTGAAGCATTTCTCGCACTGGTGTTGTTTCTCTCCACTGCAGATTGGTCGTTTCAAAACACTGCATAAAGAGGTGAAATAGTCATCATATTCTCCCTGCCTGTGCTCTTTCTTTGCAGTGTAGACCCTCTGATCTTGAGTAATGCTGGAACACAAATGTAAAGATTTCTCACAGTCTTGACATTGGCAATGTTCTTCTCCAGTGTGCATGCTTTCATGTCTGTCTGGGTTTGATGAGTCAACAGAGGCATCCCTGTGACTCCTGCATGTGTAGTTATTAGAGGTTTCTGTAGTTTCACTTGTTGTATAAAGTGCACATGAGGAGGGGTCATGAAGCACTTTGCCAAGCTGACTGCACTGACAAGACTCCTTTTCAGTCTTCACATGCTGATGGACAGGGTCACTTATGCAATGGCTTTATAGACCATGTTGATGTAATTCTCCAACATCACAACAATGTACAAAGCCCTCTGAGCAGAGTTCAGGCATTGCCACTCCTCGTTTGAGCAGTCCACAATCACATCCCTGAATGTCAGCAGACCCTGGGAGGTTCCAGGGTCGCCGGGCTGTGGTTCCCGCCACTGCGCTGCTGATGTTGATTTTCCCAGGCCGCCCCTTGGGGCTCCAGTAGTCGAGGTGAATTTTCAAGTCACCCAGGTCTGCGGTACATGATTACCCAGCATGCAGGAGCACTTCCAGGGACCATTCATGCAGTGTCTCTTGGCTGGTTTTTATTGTGTGTAGTATATTGTATTTTGCTGAATTTTATTAATGACAGAAATGTGCCATTAAATTCAATTCTGTTTTAAATGTGTGTTACATATTTATTGAGATGGCCACTCCATGGTCCCGTTTTATCTACATTTTGAACACTGTGGCATTCACTAATGGTCTCAGGCTGCAATGCTCCCTAGACCCTGGGAGCAGGACTTGTGTTATAGATGGGTCAGTTGTGGCTGGATACTATACGATTACTTCATATCTGTATTTTGAATGGTTGACTTTTTCTGGAGTGGTCTCTATTTGTTTCAAAATGTTTGAGAGGTAATTGCTAAATTTTCTGGTGAGTATAAAGATTTAAATTGCAGTTAGTCATTCTACTGGTTTAGGAAAGTGGCAGCAATTCATTCTCCTAGGGTTCATGAACTCAGCAGCTTCAGGTCAATGGTTAGGTTTACAGTACCCAGGCAACAATTCCCTCCTATTTCCCAGACCTTACATCCAATTATGACTGTTTGGTTCACCTGAGATTTAAGAGTCACAGTTGCATCCATAGGGATGTCTGCCATGATTGTGTTATGTGACAACTATTCCTGAGGAGATGTGAACAAATGTTTCCTCACCCTAGGTAGGGGGAGATGACTAAAGTACAGGAATCACCAAAGGCTAGGTTGATTTGACAATGATTTCTCTTGGGAATATGCATCAAAGTATGGGTGAAAGGTTTTTTTAGAGGAGCACAAATCACTCAAATCCCAAAGATAGTTATGTTGCCTAAGCCTAGCTCATGACAGCTGAAAACATGGAGCACACTGCATAGCCCACAGGTAGTTCATGACAAGTTGGAGAATGTCCTGTAGCTGCAATTTTCTTTGTGCGACCAATCAGCTCACAGATAAAGACACGCAGACTTATTATTAATTATGAATGCTTGGCTTTAGCTTATGCTTGTCCCAACAACTCTTTTCAATTAACCTGTCTCTGTTCATCCGTGTTTTGCTTTTGGGGCTTTTTTAACTTCCGCATTTCCTCCACTTCTGAAATGTGTTTTTCTTCATTCTTCAGAGCCTAAGTTCCTACTACTACATATTCTCCCTGCCCAGAAGTCCTAGCTATACCTCCTCCCTTGCTATTGGCTGTTCAGCTTTTTATTAGACTGATGAAATAAGTGCCCAAGGCAGACAAATAAAACTACCACATATCTTTACATATTAAAAAATATTCTGCAACAGTGTCCTTTTGGTGACTCAGGTGGTTCCAACTTCTTCTAGGAATCTTGGCTGGTTTGGATGTCTCTGAGTGGTCCTTGCTTCTCCTATGTGCTTGGGGAGTGAGTGACCATAGTGAATCTGGTCAGTTTCAGCAACTTAAGGAGCTATTGAGACATCTGTTTACTGAGCTCAAGGACATTACCTATAGGCTTGGAACTTTCACCTCTCCTTCAAATACCCAACTCTTCCATTCCTCTCCCCCTTGTTTTGTGAGATAGGGTCTCACTGTACGTCTCTGACATGCCTGGAACTGGATACTTAAACCTGTGGAAGACATCTTTACATAGTTAAATATTCCACAACAGTGTACTTTCCTGGTTCTCAGGTATTTCCTGCTGCTTCCAGGGAGCATGTATGTATACAGTTCTCACTGTATAGCTCTGGCTGCCAAGGAATAGGATATGTCAGGCAGGAAAGCCTCAAACTCAACAGAAATGGTCTTCATATTGTCATGAAAGTCATGCACCCCCACTCTGGTCACCTCCCTTTCTAATTCCCGGTGGGCATCCTGTTGTCTCACTTCACATTTCACATTCTCTGCCATGAGTTTCCCTCAGGATACAAGGTTTCCATCTGGAACAGTAGTTCTCAGCCTTCCTAATGCTGCAATACTGTTACCATTTCTCATGTTTTGGAGAACCCCAACCATAAAATTCATTTTGTTGCTGCTTCATAAGTGTCAATTTGCTGCTGTCCTGAATTATAACATAAATACCTTTGTTTTCTGATGGTCTTAGTTGACCCCCATCAAATTGTCATTTGACCCCCCCAAAAGGCCAGAACCCATGAGTGAGAACTGTGTTACAGGAATGAGTATTTAAAAGCTAAGCATTGCTAAGATCAGTGATTTCACTACTGAGATTTCACTACTGAGTAGGACTGTTGACTGCTTTTCTCCCTCGGCAGCTTGCATGGTACCTGTCAATACTTTGCAAACCAGTTCTCAGGGAGAAGGTATTCAGGTCAGACCCAGCTCCATTCCTCTAAATCCCATGTCCAAGTGTGTAGCATAGCGTGACTGTAATCCCTGGAGTCAGGCAGTGGAAACCAGAGGATCAGAAATTCAAGACTCATCAGTTTGATATGGGCCTGCAAGGGACTCTCTCAAACATGCATTCCAAGTTGTAATTTTTTAAATGCCCACTTAAAAAGTATTCTTGTGTCTTGAGAGATGACTAAGTGCATTTTTGCAGAAAAGAAGCAAAAGGAAAAAAAGCAACTAATAGAAAGCAAACAGCTTCTTCTCCATCCATGGGATCAGGTAAATCATGGCCTGTATCTGGGCCTGTGTTCCAGTGCCTGGGGACTGAATGGGGACTGCCATTGAGTCTCACCTCCCAGGGGAGCCTACACCCAGATTCCTGGTCTTCTCCACCCAAGGAACCAGGCAATTGAGGGACTGTTTCTCGGCTGGCATTCCATTAACTGGGGACTGGCTGGGGACTGCCATTGAGCCTCCACTCCCTGCAGGACCCTACACACACCAGATTCCTGGTTGTCTTCTCAACCCATGGGACACGGTAATTTGGGGCTTGTTTCTGGACCTGCATTTCAGTGCCTGGGAACCACCACTGAGGGTCCCCTCCAGAAAGGAACATACACACCCAAGATTCCTGGTCTTCTCCACATGTGGGACCAGGCAATTTGGGGGAATTGCTCTGCCTCACCCTCTCTCCGATTTCCTGGCCTGGGGACCACAGCCAGGTTGACTCACCCCCTGATGACCAAGTGATCAGGAGCCTGCAAAGAGAGCCAGTAAATTCTACCCACACTCAGGGCAAAGGACAGAGGACAGAGAGAAGAGGCCAGAGAGTATTGCATTTGCTTGCATCCACTGAAAGGGAAGCCTAGTCACCAAACCACCAGGAGAGGAAGAGGCTCTTTCAAACACACACTGGAAGAACTGATACGAAAGAGACAATATAAGAACACACTCAGCAACAGAAACACAAACATGACAGAGATTCTACAATAGCAAGACCTGAATGCCCCAATGAAGATGAAGCAGAAGGGAATGACCTTAAAAACAACTTCAAGAAAATGATAGAGGCCCTCAAAGAGGATATGAGAAATTCCATTAAATAAATGGAAGATAAAACAAAGGAAAAATCCAGCAAATGCAAGAAAGGGAGGAGAACAGGAAACCAAAATTACAAGAATCATTTCAAACAGTGCAAGGGTTGAAAGCTGACATGTAGATAATAAAAGAACACAGTCTGAAGGAATGCTGGAAATAGAAAAACTGGGGAAATGGTCAGGTACTATCGATACAAGCTTTACCAACAGAATACAAGAGAGGTAAGAGAGAATCTCAGGAGTTGAAGATACACTAGGAGAAATGGAGTCATCAACCAAAGAAAATATTAAGTCCAACAAATCCTTAACACAAAACATCCAGGAAATATGGGACACTGTGAAAAGACCAAACCTAGATAATAGGTATAGAAGAAGGAGAAGAAAACCACCTCAAAGGGTCAGAAAACATATTCAACAAAAT